ATGTGACCGTTTTTGCTCTTTTTCTTTACTCAAGTCTGTCCTAATTCTTGCTTTTTCCTTTTCCTTCGTCTCTATAAAAAACATTTTTCTTTTATGGGTGAAAAAAAGTCTTCTGAAAGTTCTTTTCTTTAGAAGACTGGTGGCATTCTTTTTTTTAAAAAAAAATAAAGAAATACTTAAACAATTTTGTTAAAGGAATCTAAAATAAATGAATCTCAATAAAATTGTAACTTTTAGGAGGACAGGGACAGTTGATATGGACTGTGAGACTCTAGATGTGTTTCTCTGCTGCCCCCATAAGGTCTGCCCTTTGATCCTGGACTCAATCTTCAGCTTATTGACCCATTGGCACCAGGACCTTAATTTAACCTAAATCCTTCTTCCTGGCAGTTTGCTGTTTGGTAAACAGACTTTGCAGTGCATGCAAATTAGCTTCCCTCCCATCTTAAGAACAGTTGATCTGGGCTTGTTTTGACTAGGGCTCTGTACACTCACAGGCCTTTTTGTCTCTGCTTCTTTACGTTTGTACATCTCTGCTTCCTCTCCTCCAACCCTCCCTCCCAGATTCAGACTCATCCCTTCCAATCCCACTCCCAGAAAACTGGTTCCTTCCTCTTCTACCTGGTCCAGCTTGATGGGGTATGATGGGAATCCCCTAAAACTTATTTCTTAGCCTTTGGTCTTTTTGTCTTTATAATCGGAGAACCATAGATTTAGACCTGGGAAGGGACGTTAGAGCTCATCTAGTTTGACCCCCTTATTTTACAGATGAGGAGACTGAGGCACAGTGAGGTTAAATGACTTGCCTAAGGTCATACTGGGACTAAATTGCTTAATATTTCTGGATCTCAGTCTCCTTATCTGTAAAATGAGAGACCTAGAGTCAGAAGGCTTCATCAAGAATAGATCAGACCAGACTAACCCCATTTCCCTTTTTGATCAGATTACTATCTATGCCAGTGGATGAGGGGAATGCTATGGATATAGTTTGCCTAGCAAAGCTTTGAATAATGTATCTCATACTATTCTTGGCAAGAAGATGGATATACATGGACTAGACAATCATATGATCAGATGGAGTCAGAGCTGGTTGATGGAATGTCAGTGCTGCAGAAGGTTGCCTGCAGTCTATCCTGGGATTGTGTTTGAGCCCGTGCTGTTTAACACTGTTATCGTTGACTTGGATAAAGACCAATGGGGTAGGCTCATCAAATATTCAGGTAACACCAAGTTGAGAAGGATAACTAACAAACTGGATGTCAGTCATGATCTAGAAGGACAGGGGCAGGCTGGAGAACTGGACTGAATCTAGTTATGTAAAACTGAATAGGGGTAAATGTAAAATTTTACCATTGGATAGTTTTAAAAAATCTACTTCCCAAGTTCAAGGAGGGGAAGATAAGGTTAGATAGAAGTTATTTTGAAAAAGTTCTAGTAGTTTCATTGGACTGTAATCTCAATGTCAGCAGTGTGATGTGGCAGCTAAAAAGCTAATGCTGTTTTAATTTATTAAATCACTAATTAATTAGTTTAAAACTAATGCTAAATAAAAATTAGACTGAGAGACATAGCTTCCAGAAATAAGGTGATAATCTCACTGTACTCTTCTACCCTCATCAGACCTCATCTGCAGTGTTGTGTTCAGTTCTATGTGCCACAGTTTAAGAAGGATATAGATGAATTGGGAGAGTGTCCAGATGAGGGCAACCAAGATGGAGAATAGCCTTGAGTCCTTGTCATATGAGGATAGTTTAGCCTAGTGAAAGAAGTCTCAGAGGAGACACAATAGCTGTATCCAAGTATTTGAAAAGCTGTCAAATAGAAGAGGTTTTAGATTTGGTTTGCCTGGCCCTCAAAAGCAGAACCAGGAGCCATGGGTAGAAGTTACAAAGAGGCCGATTTAGATTTGAGATCAAGAAGACTTCCCTTCTGTCTAAGGAATGGGCTGCCTTGAGAGATTGTTTCTTCCTCCTTGGAGGTTTCAAGCACAGGTGGGACAAGCACTTTTTGAGTATGTTCTCATTTCTGGTATGGGTTAGAATAGATGGCCACTGAAATCCCTTCCAACTCACAAAATCTCTAAGTATCAGTAAAATTACCTCCCCTCTTGGCTTCTTTATAACTATATAATCTTTCTCACAATTACCCTGACTCGAAACCTTGAAGTCATATTTTCACTCTTTTCATCATCCCATATATGAATTAATCATCAAATCCTGTTGAGTGATCATTCCCAATGTCTCTCAATTCTGTCCCTTCCTTTTTATTCCTGCTGCCAGTCTCCCAGACCAGTCCTTCGTCATCTCACACCTGGGTTATAGTAACAAAATACTATTGATTTCCTCTCCTTCTATCCCTTTCCTAACCATCCTTTCCACCCCTGCCATCAACTTTTCTCTAAAATACTATCTTGAGTATGACATTATCCTGAAAAAAATGTTTAATGGTTTTTCAAGGTGGGGCATTTGTCACGAGTCACTGCTTCTCCCTAAATGAACACTTCATATCAGCTCAACCTCATCCCCTCCTCTTGCCTTCTTTGCTATAGTTTCAGAGCAATGTCTTCTTCCCAAGGTAGCATCTTTTTTCTGTCCTTTATATCAATTCTCCTATCTCTTCCCAGATCATCCTCTCCCTCTCCCTAATTTTCAGCCTCCCCTTTCTATAGTATTTACACATATGCTCAGCTTTCCTCCATCTTTAAGAAATCTTCACTTGATTCTAACATCCCCTTAAGCTATTATCCCATGTCCCTCATTTTTACAGCCAGATTTGGGGGAAAAAAGAGATGTCTCTCCTGATTGCTTCAACTTCCTCAAATCAATCAAATGGTTGGGAGGGAATGCCCCTTCCAACCCATCAACATTTGGCTTACAAACCTCATCATTCAACTGAAACTCCTCTAAACATTACCAGGGATGTCTTAATTGCCGAATCCAATGGTCTTTTCTCAGTCCTCATCTTTCTTGATCTCTCTGTAGCCATCTGACACTGTTGACCACCTTGGTTTTCTAGATTCTTTCCTCAGTTTTTGTGACAGTGCTCTTTCCTGGTTCTCTTAGCTATTTGTCTACTCTTTCTCAGTCTTCTTCACTGGATTATCTTTCATGTCTTACCCCCCATGTGTGGGTTTATGGTAGGCCTCTATTCTAGACCTTTTTTCTTCTTTTTTCTCATACTCTTGAGTTCAACTAGTTTCTCTACCCAGATAACTCCTAGATCTATATATCTAATCCTAATCTCTCTCCTGAACTTTATCCCCAAATTATCCCCCAATTGCTTATTGACTATATAAAAAACATAAATCACTATATAAATGCTTGCTATTATCTCACTCATCTTTCCTCCTAGCTATCTTCCTAACTTCCTAACTTCTCCATTTCTGTTGAGAACACTGCTCCCATCCTTCTAGTCACTTAGATTCATTATCTAGGAATTATCCTTGATTACTCACCCCAATCAGGTGCCAAGTGTCACTGATCCTACCTCTGCATCATCTCTTGCATTTATCCCCTTCTCAATACTCAACAATCACCACCCAAGGTCATCCAAGGTCAGTCTCTCATTACCTTTTATCTGGATTACTGAGATAGCTTTCACTAAGTTGGTCTTCCTTGTTTAGGTCTCTCTTCTATAATCCATCCTCAGTGTAGCTGCTAAGTTGATATTCCTAAAGCGAAAGGTCCAACCATATCATGCTTCTTCTCAAGAAGTTCTAGTATTTCCCTTTTGCCCACAGGATAAAATTGCAGACACTTTTGTTTACATTTTAGTAACCCTCCACAATTTCATTCAAGCCTATCTTTTCCTTGCTAATGGCATGTTACTGTTTTTCATGCACTGTTCAACCTAGCCTGTAGACTGGTCTTCTTTATATATAACTTTCCACCTACCGTATCCATGCCTTTTGCCCCATGCCTAGGAATACATTTGGTCTTCACCTTTGCCTTATAGAATCCCAAATTTCCTTCAAGGCTCAGCTCAAGTTCCATCTCCTACATGAGCCTTCCCTCAGCCCCTCAAGTCACTAGTGCTTTCTCTCCAGAAATTACCTTATCTTTACTTTGTATATATTCTGTATTTGCTTTTCTGTGTGCATGTTCTTTCTAACAAGCTTATTAAGCACAGGCACTATTTCTTTTTATATCTCCAACACTTAGCACAGCACCTGGCATGTAGAAGATGCTTAATAAATGTTTATTAAATGAGTCGAGTTGCCATAAGTTACCATCCAAACCACTAGGCTTCCACCACCTTCAAGGACAATGCTATATATA